TGCTTCCCCGTCTTGCCCCCAAACGGCTCTCCTCCCCTCGGGCTCCATGCGTCATTCCTGGGTCCCCTCGCAGTTTCTGCTCCTTCGCTTCTGTGTCTTTAGAGCTGTGCTTCCTTCTAGTCCCTGCCTCTTGATAATCTCCGTCTTCCTGCAGTGTCCCCTCCCTGCTGGTGCCCGGCGATCGCAGTGCCTGCTCCCGGGGCCTCTGCTCCTTCCTGTCCCCTATGTTTCTGTCCCTCTAGCTTCCAGCCTTATGGTCCCGTGCATGCTCCTTCGAGTCTGTCTGTCCCTCGGGGCCTCTGCTCTCCTGGTGTCTGTGTCCTTATAGCTTCCACTTCCCCGCAGTTTCTGCTCCCTGGTGGGACCTACCTCCTCCCTGCGCTTTCCCGCAGAGCCTCCGCGCCAGCGCCCCTCCTAAGTCATGCGGCCTCTGTCCATTCTTTCCCCTTAATGATCACTTCTCTTTGCCCGGTTGTCTCTCTACTTCCCATTGATGCTTCTAAGAGCAAGAATCTGGTTGGTTTGGCTTATTTATTTTATTTTTTTGGTAACAGCCGCACTGAGATATAATTACATACTGTACAAATCACCCATTTAAAGTGTACAGTTCAGTGGTTTTCAGTATATCGACAGAGTTGTGATAGTCAACAATATTTTAGAAACTTTTCATCCCCCAAGAAGAAGGCCTGGTTCATTAGCAGTTACTCATGCTCCCCCACCCAAGCCCTAGACAACCAGTAGTCTGCTTTCTTTATGGATTTTTCTATTCTAGATATTTTACATAAATGTAATCATAGTTACATATGTGATCCTTTCTGACTGGCTTCTTTTAATTAACATGTTTTTAAGGTTGAGCCGTGTTGTATAACATGAATCAGTACTTCTTCTTTATTTTTTTTTAATCTTCACCTGGGGATATGTTTAGAGAGGGAGAGAGAGAGGGAGGGAGATGGGGGGGAGAGAGAGAGGGAGAGAGAGGGAGAGAGAGAGAAACATTGATGTGAGAAACACCATTCAGTTGCCTCCTGCATATTCCCTGACTGGGGATTGAACCCACAACCTAAGTATGTGCCCTGAACAGGAACCAAACCAGCAAACTTTTGGCATAGGGACAAGGCTCCAACCAACTGAGTGGCCGGCCAGGACAGTGCTTCTTATTTGGGCAGATCTTCCCCCACCAGGCTACCTTGTAGCCTCATAGATTCCTGACCAGCCTGTGGACTGGCTGCTCTTGATTGGGTCCCTTCCGTGGTTCTGTCACCTGGAATTGGGCTCATAAGACCCAGAGCTTCCTCTGGGCTGGGGCTGTGGGAAGGGCTCCATGACCTAGATGTCTGATACCCCAGCTCTGTTACTGATTTGCTGGGTGACCTCCAGTGAGTTCCTATATTCTCTGGGCCTTGCCTTCCCACTTGAAAATGAGCAGGTCCCGCACCCTGGCTGGTTTGGCTCAGTGGTTAGAGTGTTGGCCCGTGGATTGAAGGGTCCCAGGTTCGATTTCAGCCAAGGGAACATACCTCAGTTGCAGGCTCCATCCCTGGCCCCAGTTGGGGCACCTGCGGGAGGCAACTAATCCATGTATCTCTCTCACATCGATGTTTCTCTCTCTCTCTTCCTTCCTTTCACTTTCCCTGAAAAGCAATGGAAAAAATGTCCTTGGGTAAAGATTAAAGAACAACAACAATGAGCAGGTCCCTTAAACGCTCCTCACCTCTGGCTTTACCAGTTCTACAGAATGGGCGTTGCAAACTGAAAGGCCTACAAAGAGGTGACATTTATGTAGGCAGCGGATTGGGTGCAGGACAATGTGTCTCAGCAAACAAGGCCCTCCCTGTTCATCATTCCTTTCACATTTTTGAAACAGAGAACAGTTTCTGCATTACGAGAAAATAGCAACAAAGGTTGATAGTAAGCGCCAAGACCCCATGGGAAGTAGGATTTCGTGGGATGCCTGTTCATGTATGTTTTGTCCATGGCTGCTTGGTGCCACCATGGCAGCCTCGTTGCAACAGAGGCTGCAGCACCTAAATTATCTATCTATTCCCCAACCCCTTACAGAAGTGTGCTGGCCCCTGTTCTAACCACTGCACACCGCTGCTTTTGAAAACATAAAAACCGTCCCATAATTCCACGGGCCAAAGATTCCCATAGCTTTTTACCTCCTGAATATCCTTCCTCTTTCTCTTCTCTCTGTGCACATCCAGTTACAAGGAGAGCCTTTCATCCCATGTGAGGATGAAAGTAACACCCAGAAGGGCTGCTGCGAGGCCTAAGGGATGTCCTGCACGTGGAGGGCCTGCCTCCAGGACATTCTCAAGCTGCTGGAGCCATGAAGATTATTTTCATTCTGAATAGAGCAGACACCTTGATGTTGAGTGTTTTTCCCCTAAAGCCCCAAAATCAGATGCTGGAGCCAGATTGTGGCTTCCAGGAGAACCCTGAGCGCCACAAAGGTAGGGTGCAGGGACCAGTGTCTGCTCCTCAGAATGAGTGTCTTCTCTCTGCCCAGCCCCCAACACAGAGACAAAGCCCCTGCTGACGTGGAAGAAGGCCCAGGACACCATTCCCTGGAACATCATCCTTCTCCTGGGAGGGGGCTTCGCCATGGCCAAAGGCTGTGAGGTAAGAGCAGCAGGTGCGATGCAGGCCTGTGAGGTGTGGGCGGGTCCCCATCCCCGCTGCAGGCTCAGTGTAAGAGCCAGTGACACCACAGACCTTGCAGACACCACCCCATTTGCCAGTTAGGATGATCATAGTTCCCATCTGTGCCTGGTGCTGAGGAGAAAGACAAGAATAAGGCATGACCTGGACCCTCCAGGAGCTCACGATGAACGTAATACTATTGTTGGTACTAATAACATCATGACTCGAGGGTTCTGTGAGCACAGAACACCACCACCATGTATTGTGCTCGCCTGTCCAACGTGCTTTACGTACAGTAACCGATTTAAACTTCCCAACAAGCTTATGCAGCACCTGCCACCATTATCCCCATTCTGTAGATTAGGAAACGGAGGCACAGAGTGGTAAAGTAACTTGCCCAAGGTCACACAGCTATGTCCTCCAGATTAGAATCCAGGTAGTTTGGCTCTAGAGTGCACAGTCTTAGCCACTATGATATAAATGTTAGATATTTTTAATATTAACTATTTAATTAGTTATTAATGTTATTCTAGAGGGTTCTGTGAGCTCAGAAGTAGGGCTGGAACTAGAGTGAGGCATGTGAGGCACTGAGGGTGCAGGATTTCAGAGGAGCTCGCTCTTGGGGTCATCGGCCCTGCTCAAAGGAAGTGTCAGGCATGTATCATAATGTATTATCTCTGAATCCTCACAAGACCCTAGGGTCTACGTAATATTTTTTACTCCTATTTTACAGGTGGGAAAACTGAGGCATGGAAAATTAAGCAACCCTCTTAAGATCATAAAATCACACTCTGCTTAGGAGCTGGGGTTCAAACTCCCATCGATGTAATTTCAGAGTCCAGGGTCCTAATGGCTCAGTCTCAAGAACTTCCCAAGTGCAAGGCACTGCTTGAAGCACTTTGCAAATACTGACTTTGTTAATCTTCACAAACACCACTGAAGTAAATGCTATTGCTGCCCCATTTCAAAGATGAGGAAATAGAGGCAACTTGAAGCTAAATAGCTTGCCTCTATTTGTGCAGACAGGGGATGGCAGAGCCAGGATTTGAAACCATAGCTGATGACGCTGGGCCCTGCCTCGCTCCTAAATCACTCCCTATAAGCTGACTCATTCAAAACCATAACCAGTTAAAGGTTAATCTGAAATTAAGGTAAAGGGAACCTGAAACTACTTCTCAGATTGCTTTCTTTTTAAATTCAATTTAAATTTTCAGGTTTGAATAGTGTTACAATGCAAGATACCTATTAAGATATATACTAGTCAGAAGACCAGGCTTGGGGATCTGAGTACCTGGATTCAATTCTGAGTTCTATCCCCCCTCTCTGGGGCCCCTTGGGCAAGTTCCTTAACCTCTCTGGGCACCAGTTTTCTCATCTATGAATTGGCTCGAAGTTCTTACTTATTGGGGGTAATTAAAGACAATGCTGATGCAACCCCCAGCAAATAGGAAGTGCTGAAAAGTCCCTCTGCATCCTCATGCCTTGGTTAGTGTAGGTTTGCTTCCAGGAAGCAGACTCTTCGATGGAGAAGTGAGCAGGGGATTTATTAGGTTATTCGGTGACCTTGAGGTCACCTCCTGTGGTGGGGGGAGAAATACAGCTATGAGGCAGACCCCGCAAAGCCTCCACCAGCCACAGAGAGTGCCGAGCTGAGAAGACCCTTCAGAGACGTCCCAGTTGGTCCAAGATGGCCAGGCCTTTATACCCTGCATCCCTCTGTCATCTGTGAACATGACCCTCCTGAGAAGCAGGCGTGACCTTGGGCAAGGCAACTCTTGGGTCAGGGGGTGACAGTGAAGGCCGTCTGTTGCCCGCACTCCCTGCGCTTGGGGCAATATGGAAAGTGGTCTGGGTGGCACATTTAGGTTCTCCACACAGCTACTCTTTTTTTGTGAACTATATTTTTATTTTATTCTTTTTCCCCCCCAATAAATATCACGGTTACAATGATACAGATTTCAAAAAGAGCCAAAGGGTAGATGAGCAAAAGTACTGCTGTTGCCTCCATTTTAGGAATCCCGAAGACCAGAGAGGTTAAGTGACTGACTCCAGGTTACACAGCTCATAGGTAGCAGAGCTGGGATTTGAACTGGTGCCTGTCTGATTTGTCTCACTACTGCCTCCTACTGGAGATGTAAGGAAGGCTTCCCAGAAGAGGTGACATTATCCAGGTCTTACGAGGAGCATGCAATACAATGGTAGAAAGCATGGGCTGTGGAACGAGGCTATCTGGGTTAGAGTCACAGATCTTCCTCTTCTTTGCGGTGTGCCTCAGTTTCCCCATCTGCAAAATATGCATACCAGCGGATCCCATCGTATAGCGTTATTACAATTATTAAATGAGTCCATACATGTGGAGAACTTAGAACCTAGCCAACATAGCTGGTTATTAGGACTGGATGTTGGGGAAAAGGGGAATTCAGGATCAGGGATGACACAGAGGTTCGTGCCCTGAGCAGCTCTGTGGAAATGGAACTGTTTACTGAGATGCACCTAGTCTGACCCTGAGGGGGAGTCGGAGGGGTGACCCCACACCCCAGAGGCTCCTCAGCTCAGAGCAAGGTGGGCAAAGCCTGTGTCGGTCAGGGCTGGGCGGCAGGACCGCTGAGCATGCTGGAGGCCAGCCTGGCTCCTGGCCCAGCCCCGGGCAGCAGGCTGGGATTTCTGTTCAACAAGGCCTTTGTGTGGCAGCTGTCCCCTTCCCCCAGCCCCTGCTGGTACCGTTCCCTCCCCGAGGGACAGAATGCTCATGGCACATCCTGCTTCCTAGTCCCTGCCCAGGGCCCTCGCCAGGCCACAGCGGCCTCCTGCCGCTTAGAGGTCCTTGGATGGGACCCAGGGTGAGTCTGGATGTGTGGACCCCCTCGTGTTGGTTCCAAAGGGCTGGAATCAGATCCCAGGGCTTACTCGGGGCTTGGGCAACTCACTTACACCCACTTAGTGTGCTTACCAGTTTTCTCCTGCTTCGAAACTGCCCGTGGCTCCCTATATGTTTAGACTCCAGTCTGAAGGCTTCCACCGGCCTGCACACAAACCCGTTAGCTCCATCTTTCTCCTCTCGCTGGCTCCATTCCAGTCCCACTGGCCCCTTGCATTCCTCAGCCTCACTAGATTCCCTTGCACCCCAGGACCTTTGAATTACTTTCTCTCTGCTGAATGCTCTTCCCTGAAATCTCAGGGTTCTTACCCTTCAGGTCTCAGCTGAACACAACACAGAAAGGACCTCCTGGCCAGCATATCTAAAGTAGCCTCCCCACCTACACAGTCCCTCTCGCTCTTATCACCCTGCTCATACTATACCTACCCCTCAAATGATGCTACTTATTTGTTTACAGGTGTCTCTCTAACTAGATTGTAAGCTCTGTGAGGGCAAGAATCATATGTATCTTATCCACTGTGTCCCATGCTCACTGAGTAAATATTAGCTGGACAGGACCTATAAGATGGGCTGTTTTGAGGACTGATGACATGATGGGTGTATGGAAAGTGCCCAGCAGAGGGCCAATACATACCAGGTGCTAAAACAGGGGCCACTGTCAACCTTACTGCTTTTGTTGTTGTTATATTTTACTGTCTCCTGGATTAAAAACTGGCCTTTTTCTGGCACCTTCATGTTTAGCTCATTTAGTCTCCACCACAACCCACTTGTCTGCAAATATATTGAGGTATCGAAGCTCAGTATTAAATGAGAGGGGAGCAGACCCTATGGGCAAGTAGAAATGCATGTCTTCTTCTCCATCCCTCATTTCCTGCTGGAGATGAGGTTTATTATTATAGTTGTTGTTGTTATGTTAATTGGAGAAGTAGCCTAATGAAATGATTAAGAGCCAAATTGCAAGCTCAAAATTCTAACCCTAGGGAAAGTCATCTCGCTTAATTGGACAAATCACAGATTCTTGGTGCCCCAGTTTCATCAACCACAAGAACAGAGAGAATTCTGCTACTTACCTCATGGGGTTGTCATGAAGATTAAATAAGTTAATATTTGCGAAATAGTTATATGTGTGCCCAGTACAGAGTAAACACTGTAAGTGTTGTTAAGTTAAATAAATAGTAATAAACCATATTCAGTGTTTACTATGTACAGGGACTGTTTTTATGAGTACTCGTTTAATCCTTACCACAACCCTTTGAAGAAATCACGGAACAGAGATGCTGATTAATTTGCCCAAGATCACACAGCTTGTAAGCATTCCCATGGCTTGAATGTTCACCTCACGTACGCAGCCTTCTCTTTTTTCTTTCTTTTAATCAAGTTCACCTAAGAATTATTATATAGAGTTGTACACACACAGCTGAGCCTACTGTGTTTTATGAGTCTTATAAGAGATTTTCAAGGGTGTTTTCCACTGAGATTTCAACTTTAAACATTTAACTTAGATGATAACACCCTCCTTGTAAGATGCAGCCCTTCTGTTATAAAGGAGATCTAGAAGAGTGATTACAGTGGGAAAGGGGGAGGAAGAGGGAGCATCCTCCTGCCAGCTCAGCCTCCCTCTCCCATCCTGCACGGTGACCTCAGGCACCTCTTGGCATCTTCAAGGGTCACAAAGAACACAATTTGACAACCACTGCACTGGGAAATTTCTGAGTGTTCTGCCACCTCTGGCATCTCATGACTTGGTGCTACTAATGACAGGTGGCATGTACTGGGCATGTACCAGGTGCCCACTCACTTTATTAAATGCTTCATAGATTAGCTTGTTTTCTCCCAATAATAACCGTCTAGGACAGGTATTATTATATCCCCATTTACAGATAAGGAAACTGAGGCACAAAGAGGCAAATTACTTGACCAGGATGACACAGCCAGAAAGGATTAAGATGGAGAACGTACTTCACCCGACTCCAGAGCCTCTTCTCTTCACCCTCTGGCCATACTGCCTCTGACCTTGCCTGTTGCTGATTCCAGTGTCCCTGGGACACTGTGTGGCTATGTGGTTCCAAGGAAACAGAGCTTCTGATTCCTGAGGGGATGGGAGTGGGCAGGTGAAACCCTTTAGAGTCCCCAAGAGAAGCCCGGGCAGTTGGGGGTTCTCTCTCATGAAGCTGCCAGGCCTCCCTGTGGCTGTGGAAGCTGAGCCAAGGGTTTGAGCGGCTGCTGGGACGGGGACTGGAAGCTGTCACCCAGAGGCCTGGCTACAGGGAGATTCCTAACTTCTCATTCATCCAAGTCATCAACATTCCCTCCCTCCAGCCTCTCTCAGCTTACTGCGCACACTGCTCTTGGTCTCCTTGCCAAAGCTGTGGCCTCTGGGGACAACCAGTGGCCCCATTTTTTTCCAGTGAAGTGTTCCCCGGGCCAGGGGAGAAACTGGGGTCTTGATTCTGCCATGTGCCATAATTTCTAGGCTATCAGACAAGTAGTGCAGATATAAAAGAAACACCTTAATTTTACAAGGTCTCTTTAAAGTCAGATTGTAGGGACAAGTGTATTATTCTAATTATGGAAACACAGTGTGCTGTGTCCTAGAATCCATTATGAAATTTTAAGTTCTGGATAATCACTAAATTTTCTATTAAACACAAAAGAAATGTGTATAGTTTCTTTGATAAACCAAAGCGTACTGGCACCAGATAATACTGGGTTGATAAAGGGCTGTGGTGGGCATACACTTGATCCTAAACATTAGGGGACTAATCCAACTTGGCCTTGGGTCAGCATCTAATAAAAACAGAAAAACTGACCTGTGGGGGTTTTTTTGAGATATTGCTGCATGGAACCACCAGGGGGCAAAGCAGAGCATACTTTTACATCTTCAGCCTTGCTGCTTTGGGGTCCTCAGGGAGGTGTGTTGGACTCCAGGTAATTAAGGATTCATTGGCTGGCAGGAGGGAGTAGCTGGGGGAGAGTGTACACATTATATACTTATGAATAGAGTGACTCCTAGAGGAGTCAGAGAAGAGAGCGTGGCATAATTCTGCAGTCTTGATGGCAGGGTAGAATCTGGAGCCAGGGAGGGGACACTCTAACAGGTCCTTTCTCTGTCCTGTTGGGCTCTGGTCAGCTCTGGGCAATGCTCGTCATTAAAGGGGGCAGCGACAGACTGGTGTGTCCAGAGGAGGGTACCCAGGTGACAGGGAGTGTTTCAGGAGCATGTTAGCTGACAGAAATCCGTGGCCCTAAGTGTGAAATACATCTCACCATTGCTTTTGGTGACTGTGGGCAACGCAAAAACTGCGCCAGGCTCATATTGCTCCTCTGTAACACAGGGACGAATGTCTACCTTATGGGAGGATTCAGGGAGCTGCGGCATGCAGGTTCCTGGCACCCTATAGAGCCACAGTAATGATGACTGTTATGATAATGAATAATAACACAATGTTAATAATGTTAATATTTGTGCGATAATTGTAACAAATGTCCTTATTATTGATCATAAATATCTTTATTATTTATAATCACATTGATAGTGTCGTATTTAATATATACCTGATACATTTTTTATATTACAATGATATAGAGTATATCTGGTATGCATTATACATTTGAAGCATATTAATATATAATAATTATAAGATTAATGTTTTGTACAATACTTGTGTTCATATCATTTTAATTAGCAACTGTCAGTGGAGGAATGAAGGGATTTATCATGGAGGATCCAATTCCCCTCTCCCATTCAGCTTAGAGCTTAGGGGTGCAAGACCCAAATGGGTTGTTTGGAGAACTGAATGGGTTGTTTGAGGATCCAAGGCTTTGAGCCCCAGACCTATAGCACATGGAATAGAGAAGAATTCAGGAGACAGAGAGGCTGGTTCGAGTCCAGGCTCAAATGTGTGACCTTGGACATGTCACTTACCCCCATCTATGAAGGGGTATTATTGTCATCATTGTGATTGATTCCAACCCTCCCCCCTGCCCCCGGCCCCAGCCCTCAGGCGTGGCAACTGGGGTGGGCTGGGGTGTGAAGAGATGCCCCTGCCCCCTTCCCTCTGCAGCAGTCGGGGCTGTCTCTGTGGATCAGTGACCAGCTGCACCCCCTGGAGAACATGCCGCCCATGCTGGCCGTCCTGATCATCACCTCGGTCATAATTTTCTTCACCGAGTTTGCCAGCAACACGGCCACTATCATCATCTTCCTGCCCGTCCTGTCAGAGCTGGTGAGGGGCCTTCTGGGAATGAGGGGGGAGAAGGGGCACCGGTCCCCCCAACCACACAGCTCAGAAATCTCCCCCTGCTGGCGGGAGCTCCATCAGGCAGCCCCATTAATCTCCTCCAGAATGCGTGAAAAGTGCCAGAACCCAGATTTAAAAAAAAATACTGTTTTTTCTCCTTCAAAAAATGCATAAACAAGGTAAATATTTTCAAAATGACCAAATTCTCTTCTTTGGAAAGTTTTCTAGGAAAATATAAATTACCAAATTTGGATTAAGCAGAAGCAGAAAATCTGACTAGCCCAAAAACCACAGGAGAAATTCTGATAGCAAAGCTCCAGCCTCCCTGTAAAGCCAGGCCTCTTGGCACTACTGACATTCTGGGTCAATGGTGGGGACTGTCCTGTGCACAGTAGGGTGTTTAATGGCACCTCTGGCCTCTCTATCCACTAGATACCAATAGAACCCCCTCTAAGTCACGACCATCAGAAATGTGTTCAGACATTGCCAAATGTCCCCTGGAGGGACAAAATCATCCCCAGTTGAGAACTACTGCATTGAAAGTCACCAGCCCTGGAGAGCTGGCTAAGTGAGAACAGGAACCGTCAAGGAACAGATAGTTCTCAACTTTTCAAGCTGTTCCAGAGCACAGAAAGGTAGAGAAAGCCACTCAATCCAGGTATAAGGCTAGCAAAACCCCAACACCAAAAGCAAACAAGGGGAAAAAAGGGGGGAAATGGCATAATCTCACATGTAAATAAAGATGCAAATAGCAAAATGAGTCCAGAATCATATGCAAAGAACAACATATCACAAACAAGAAGAGTTTCTACTAGGAATTTCAAAACTGATTAATGAGTTTTACATTTAAATAGATTAGAGAAGACTAAGCCACCTTTTAACTTCAATACAACTCCAAATCCATGGAATTAAATCAATGTTGCAAGTGTACGCTTTGTATGCAAACAGTGACATGCCAGGCACACTTGTCTAGACCACTTAGTATTTGTTTACTTATTTACTCATCAATTATAATGGAGATCACGCTGTATTCACATACACAAAGGTACACTTTATCCTTTGTCAATGACTGGAGAATATTCCATTATGAATTCATAGTTGTTGATTTGTTAAGCCACCTGCTTCCAGCCTTTGCTATTATCCAGCAAGGCTGCCTCGAACTTGCCCTGTCTGTGCACCCTTGAGGACATCTAGAGATACTTGTAGAATTGAGATCCCTGGATTAAAGAGCCTGGACACTTACAATTTTGTTAGGTGTGGGTAAATTGCCCTCCAAAGTGAATGTGCCATTTTACACTCTTACCCACCATTCGGGGTGGGGATCTCCCTTCCCTGGCTCAGTGTAATGGGATTTAATCACACCCTTCCCCAGGATCTGAGGGACCTGGCAATTGAGAGATATGGAGAGGCTACTAGGCAGAATGGAGGAGGGAACATAGAGCCTTTACTGGAGAAGACACTAGCAAACGATACATTCTTCTAAACAATACATTCTTATCATAAAAAACAAAACATTTTACACACAAGGGGACAATTTTAGCTCTTTTTGAGAAAAGGTATATGCTCTGGGTTGCAAAAATTCCTTAGAGGGTCCCAAAACGTCCTATCTTAAAATAAAATGCTGGAGAAGCAATTAACATGAATTGTAGGTGAATATGTCATTGGAGAGAAGAGGAGGACCGTTGGCCCACTGACTGAGGCCAACCCACAGACAGGTTTGATCCCTACAGTGTTAGAAATTTGGAAATGTTTGCCAACAGATGTCATCTAGAGCTCTCCTTATCCCTGAAGTTTAGTGAGGCCCCAACAAAAGGGTCCCAGAGCCTAGCTGTTTGGACTATTTGGCTGAGGGAAGGATCAGGCATTGGGCTTGTTATTCTAGAGCATCTGCATCACTTCAGAGCTTGTTAGAAATGCAGATTCTTGGGGCCACCCCAGACCTGTTGAGTCAGCAACCCTGGGTAAGTGAGGGCCAGCCATCTGGGTTTTAACAAGCCTCCGGGTGATTTTCATGCACCCTCAAGTTGGAGGAGTGTCCTAGGTAAATCTCCCGAGCGGAGCCTCCCTGAGGACCCTGCAGTGTGGCCCCAGAATGTCACTAACCTTGAGAATGTTCTCTCCATCTCTTCCTTGGTCCGGTGCTCTTCTGTCTATTTCTGTGTATCGTATCTCTCTTTTCTGTGTATCCGTATTTCTGGTTGCATTTCTCATTGTCTCTAAACCTGTCTTCTCATTTGTTTCCACTGCTTGCTCTCCCTCTGCCTTTCTCTATCCATGTGTCTTTGTCTCTGTTTCTGTCTGTACATCTGTCTCCATGTGGCTCTCCTTCCTCTTGTGATTTCTCCCTGTTTCTCTATGTCCTGGTCTCCCCACCCCCTCCTGGGCCCAGGCCATCCGCCTGAGAGTGCACCCCCTGTATCTGATGATCCCCGCCACAGTGGGCTGCTCCTACGCCTTCATGCTCCCAGTCTCGACGCCCCCCAACTCAATTGCCTTCGCCTCTGGACACTTGCTGGTCAAAGACATGGTGAGTCTGGGCATTTTCTAGCAGAGCCCAGAGAGGTAGGTGGACACCGGGTGGTGGGCCAGGCATCTGGGCACGACCCCTGCTCCCCCAGGTACCACCCCCCAATTTCTGCATAGGTCATTCTGAGTAAGGCCAGGAAGATACATTTTAGCAAACACTCAATGTTTCGACAACTTCAGAAAACACTGCCTAAGTGACTACTTTCCAAAGTTTGGGAAGGGACAAGGGACTTTCCCCTGTTTCTGGGCACTGCTCTCTGTTCTTGCTTTTTGGCCAACTGCTCTGTGCCCAGAATCTTTAGGAGAGGGGAGCAGCAGTCTACACCCTGGGACGTGGGGTGGCCTCAATGCCTGGCCAGCTGAGGAGTGAGACAGAAGCCCAGGGTTGTGGCAGTGGGGGGTACCCTCCAGCTCTCAGCAGGGCTCAGCCTTCGGGCAGCGTGTTCCCTCTCCCCTAAGCTCCCTGCTAACCCCCCCCTCCCCCTCTGGCTTTCTACTGCCTCTCCCCCTCCACCCGGGCCTGGGGTGTTTGTACACTGGACACTCAGGATGCAATGAACTCTTCCTGAGCTGGTGCAACCCAGAGAGGAGATGTGCTTAACCAGTTCATGGGGCTGGCTCCCAGGCTCTGGGACCCAGCAGGGTAAATGGTGAGAGAACCAGAGTGAGAGGCAGAAAGAGATTCTAGAGCAAGCAGAGTGTGACATATAGGTGTTACTTAACTAAGTAACTAAAGTGGAACTGAGTGGGCATTTTGAGCCAGGTTCCTAGGACCCTGGCAAAGGAAGATCCCACCCTCCTCCTCGTTCCCCCAAAGCTTTGGCTGGGCTCCTCCTAATCCTCCAAACTTTTCAGGGACTTTAAGGCTCCCTAGAGCAGAGGCAGCCAGCACAGGGCAGATTCCAGACCTCACCAGGTGGCCTCCTCCCTTTACCCTTTCCATGAACCATCCTGGGTAATAATCACTTCACAATTTTACTAAATCAGCTTACATTTTTTTAAAACTTAAATAAGAGCCCTAGCCGGTGTGGCTCAGTGGTTGGAGCATCGGCCAGAGCATCGAAGGGTTGCAGGTTCAATTCCCCGATCAAGGGCACATATCTGGTTTGCAGGTTCAATCCCAGCCCAGGCCGGGGCTTGCGCAGGAGGCAACCAATTGATGTGTCTCTCTCAGATCGATATTTCTCTCTCTCTCTTTCCCTCTCCCTCTCTTCCTACCTTCCACTCTCTCTAAAAAATCAATGGAAAATTTCCTCTGANCTCTTTCCCTCTCCCTTTCTTCCTACCTTCCACTCTCTCTAAAAAATCAATGGAAAATTTCCTCTGATGGGGATTAACAAAACAAACAAAAACCTAAATAAGAGTATTTAAAAAGAAGAGTTACCAACACATGTGTAAATGGGAAACCAGTATTGCATGCCATTGATGGCAAATCTAAAAATAAATGCAAAGGGGGGAAAAAGCAAAATAATGGAATTCTCCCTGCTGACGGTTGCCTGGAGAAGGGCCTGAAGCCCTGCTCGTTAAAGGGCAGCACCTCCGGCAGACTCGCTCCGAGGAGGTGACTGGAAAAGCGATTGAAAAGGGAGGAATTTCCCCACCGAGTGACTTCCAGCTGGACTGCCAGGGCGGGAACCAGAAAATCCAGCTGGGAAACTGGATCTCAGCCCCCATTTGGACTGCACAGTACAGGAGGTCAGCCTGGGGAGGGAGCAAGTGGGCAACTCTTTTTAGCTATTAAAGAAGTAAAAGTTCCCAGAAGAAAAAAATCTTCCTAAATACACAAGTATAGCCTTAACTGGATAGACCCGCATTGTGCGTGTGCTGTGGGGGTGGGATTGTTTAATGATCAGATCAGATTATTTTCAAGTATGTAGCCTTGGATAACTTCTCTGAGCCGTGTTTCCTTCTTCTGTAAAATGGGAGTAATACAAATAACAATAACCCTTGTAGGGTTGCTTTCAGGATTAAATGACCCTATGACAGCTGCATGGACGGTACCTGGCTCCTAGAAGCCACTCATTGAATGAGGACATTTGCAGCACTTTGAGGGACAGCCTAGGGTGTGTAAAGATGGAAGGGTCTTGGGCATCGGCCGAACTGAGTTTGGGTGAATGACTTCGGGGTTTTTCCATGTGTAGGATGAGCCTCGGTTTTTCCATCTGTGGGATGGGCCTCGAGTCTGTGCTCTATTTCAGGTGCGGGCAGGCTTCCTGATGAACCTGGTAGGCGTCCTGCTGCTCAACGTGGCCATCAATACTTGGGCACAACCCATCTTCCAGCTGGGCACCTTCCCGGACTGGGCCCACAGCCACTCAGCCAATGTCACAGCACCGCCACCCACATTTGTGGCCAACGACACCTTACGGACCCTCTGAGTCCTCCTTGGAGACTCTCTTTGGGCTGGGCCCTCCCAGAAGCCTTTACCAGCACTTGCTCTTAGGATCAGACAAGATGATCACGCAATTCTCTGTGATCCAGTACGTAGCAAGCAAGGGTGACCTCCAGTGGTCCACTTGGGTCAACAAATTCATATCTAGGACACCTTCTCCTCGCTCATGCAGTTCAGGGCCCAGATATTTCCCAGATCTGCTGCCTGAGAAATAATCTCCTTTGTCTCTGAGCTGGAATGTGGTTAGGATGCAACAGAGCCCAATTGCAGCAACAGTAAACAAATCTAGAATGACATTTTTCTTGAACAGTTGGGACGGGAAGCTACCCATCCCCAAGGGCACAGCTAATGTTCACAGCTGGTGTGCGTTCTCTACAGTCGGTGCCCATTCTGCGCCGGTTGTTTGACTAGTTCCCCTACTGAGACTCAGCAGTCAGGGGAATTTTCAATCCGGGGAGACGGAGGCGGGTGAGGAGGGACAGACGACTTCCTGAGTACGTGGACACTGTGCAGAACCTCCATATTGCTTCTCTGTGTTCCCAGGCACACCAGGGGAGTTCTAGAAACCCTCACTGACATCTCTACCCAAGATTTTGGGATGCTCCTGTTCAATCTGATTCACTTTGGCTGTAATTCTGGAGTTAGGCCAAGCCTGGGCCGTGCCCGCTTGCAGGTGGCTCATGGCCCCTCCAGCCAGGCCCCTCCTGCACGTGGCCCACAGCAGCCTTGGTGGCTGCCGGCTACTGCTGGCTCAGCAGCTGGTCTTTTCCTCCCCAAACCTACCCCAAGTGGCAAGCATGTTTGATTAGCAAAGGCCACATTTTTCAGAGGTGAGAGGAAAGACCAAAGATAAACTCGGGCCTTGTAAAGGGCCAGGGTAAAGTGTCTCAGGCAGCGAAGTAGCACAATCCTCTTCTCTAGACAGGGACACTGAGGCTCCCTGGGAGCCAGCGGCTGATGGGTGCTCCTAGGGATTTGATCACTCCTGGTTTCAAGCAGAAGCATCTGGGCATCTCCAGTGAACAGCACGGCCTTGGGCCCTGCAGATGCTCAGGAAGTGTCTGTGGAATGAGTGGCCCAGCGTTAGCATAGCACCTGAAGAGCCCCAAAGCCTCCCCTCTCCCCTCTCC